ATCTTTGTAGAAAGAATACTATTCAAGAAGACCATTGGTAATCAAAACATTTTTTTAAATCATATGAAACATTATCTTTAATGATTGAATGAATTAAATACATTATAAGTAAATATATACACTATAAATGTTTAAATGAATTATTTTACTCACAGTAGTTCAATGAAAGTAACCAATTCAGTTTAATAGCATACCACAACAGTAAAATGTCATATGCTAAATCTGCTATAGCAAAATATCTGGTATAGCATACTGTAGTTTTATTAAGCAATATTTTCTTTTGCAAACAGCAAATATAAATAATATCACAACAGTCAAAATTGGCTGCGATGGACACCTGTAATAATACAGTGTATTTTTTCTGGGGCCTGGCTGGCACCTTTGAAATTTGAGTAAATTGTCAGCTGCATCCAAATAGGAAAATTTATCTTTCTTTAAAAAAAAAAAATCCTTAGTATTAAACTGGAAATATTTGTTTACATTAAATCATGCATCATAAACAAAACAAAAAAGTTATATAAATTCTTTTTTCTTTACTAATTTGTTTAGCCTCATTTCCTTTGGGAAAAACTCCAAAGATGAAATTATATAAAGAGAACAAGAGGCCCAAGGGCCTTAGCGGTCACCTGAGTTATATCATAGGTAATGGTAACTTTATTTTATTGTTTAGATGTGATGTGGAAATCAGCATGTAAACTAAGTGAAATACAATACTTGTCATGTCATCAAAGGGTAAGAATTTGAAAAAGTTGGTAAATTTTCCCTTTGGGGCCCCGCCCTAGCCCCTGGGGATGTAATACAATACCCTTATTTACCAAAGATGATTCTGACTAAGTTTGAGTAATTTTCTGCTGAAAAAGGATAAAATATACCCAAAAGTGTTATTTCCCTATATAAACTATAGTAAAATTTACCCCCTCCCCAAGGGAGAATGGATCCTGATGGGGTCCGGAAATTTACAATTTAAATAAAGCCGTTGATGATCTTTCTTTCCATGCAGAGAAAATGACTGTAGTACCTCTGAGTCTGGAAAAGAAGATTTTTGAAATATATTGGTTAATTTTCCCTTTGGTGCCCCTCCCTGGCCCCAGGGGTTGGAGTAGGAATCTCAATTTTACAATTTGAACCATTTTTCTCCAAGGACAATTCTCACCAAGTAAATATAATTTCCTACAGATAGTTGTCAAAATATATCAAAAAGTGTTATTTCCCTATATAAACTATAGTAAACTTTACCCCCTCCCCAAGAGAGAACAGATAGCTCTGGGGTCCTGAAATTTACAATTGAAATAAAGCCCCTGATGATCTGTCTTTCCATGCAGAGAAAATGACTGTAGTACCTCTGAGTCTGAAGAAGGAAGATTTTTGAAATATTGCTTAATTTTCCTGTAAGGGCCCTGCCCTGGCCCCAGGGGTTGGGGTAGGAATCCCAATTTTTTCAATTTTGTAGCCTCATCTACCAAGGATGATTCTGACCAAGTTTAAAAAAACCCATCCACTGGTTCTTGAGAAGAAGTTGAAAATGTATAAAGTTTACGCACGACAACGGACGGAAAGCGATTAGAATAGGTCACTTGAGCAAAGCTCAGGTGACATAAACATTTTAGCATTTGTATGCAAAACGCAAGCTATGCACATTTTTTTTCCCCCAAAGTTCACTTGTAATAAAGGAAAGAATCTATGACAACATGCTCAAACTTCACCAGTAAGTGGTATTTATTCTATAGGCCGACTAGTTTGGCCTCTAAATGTGAGGCTTCATCTTCGGAGGACAATTTTCAGCAGCAATTTTTCACCTGAATACCATAATACAATGCACCCTAAATTCATCATCTAGTGTTTTTTATTTGATCTTAAATGACTACTAAGTATTACAGCTCTATGACAAGTCATATTTGTAACTAGACAGCTGCTTAATGTATTGTTACTTGAATAAGCTTTTTATCAATCAAAAACTTAAAGTAGGACCAAATGTTATACGGTACAATTCCACCAAAAATAGGTATTAAACAACGTATTGATGATGAATATTACATAGTCATATGCTTATGATAATTCTGTTAACTTACAAACAGTTGCTGAAATTGGTTGTGAATAAATAGTTTGAGACAAGCTGGATGAATTATTGACATATGAGGTTTGAGTTAACTGTAGTAAATGATGAAATTCATTCGACAGATAATAACTGGCCAATAATTTATCAAAACATGTTTTTGACAGTATGTGTTGACTGTAACTTGCAATCACAAACATCACATAATTTGGAAGCTTCTCATCATTTTTCTTAAATCTTAATCTATCTTAATTACTTCTATTCAAGCTTTAGCTCCCTAACACTCTGCCAGAGTAATAGGAAGTGCTAACTAGCCAGAACAAATACTCCTGTTACATCTGATTACCTGTTCATATTTCTTACTGCCATATTAAAATAAAAAGTCAGTATAATAAAAGAGTGATGCTTCCCATAGGGAAACACTGTGAATGTAAAGACAAATCAAGAAGTGTGCCAGGTTGTGGCATTTCAATGCCCACCAAGTCATGCATTTTCAACTACTGGAAAATATGGCAGATTCAAATAGTGTATCAGGATACCTAAAAATGTGCTAGTTATGACCTCAATTTTCAGGTTTTAATTTTAGGATATAGGGGACTTCACTGGTCTAATTCACTGACCACTCCATTCTACAATAATAATACAGTGTAATACACAGACTCAGTGCACACTTGTATCTAAGTGTAAGAACTAAGACGGCCTGGTTGAGGACCAATACACTTCAATTCTGTACTCATGACAGACCAAGTGTACTGTTAGTTTTCAGATTTTCAGATCAGCCATATATTGTCATTCGATGAGACCAATGAAAGATTAGCAGGAATGAGACTGACTTATCTAAAGAGAGCTTGATATCTCTAGGACAGCTTACAACTGATGGTAATCGTGGGTCAAGTCAATAAAGCAGCAGGAAACTGTCTGTGTAGCTTAATGCAAAACAATAGTCAAATTTGTGTATCTGGCCATGGTTACCTTGCACACATAAAAAGAAAAGGTTGACCAAGCTGGAGAGTTATGATACATAAGAGATTTTTTTCACTTATCCTCATGACATGACGGAGAATTATCATTTCACAAGTAAATATACAGGAGCTTGTTACCCTGTATCAGCCGTCACGATCACTGCGGTCGGAGTCAGAATCTTTGTTGTGTGACCCAAAATCTTGTACTGTGACCTACGGAAACAGATGTTTTGGGAGGGTTTCGGCTACGTTGTGGAATAGCGTACCATCTGCTATTAGAAAGTCATATACCCTGGCCAAGTTCAAGAGGGACATCAAAACTCACCTCTTCACGTCTGCATTTTAGAATCTTTGCAAAAATGTCATGTAAAAACCACCCTTTTATTTGTTCAATTATTTGCACATTGCTTGCTTAAATGTATAAAAGTGATCGTAATTGTGATTGTTTTTTGTTTTCACAATTATAACCATTACTATTATCCATATGTTGTAAAGCGCTTTAGAGTAATTTTACAAATTATATAGGGCACTATATACATGTTGTATATTATTATTATTATTATTATATACTTACTTTCACATTAAACTAACATATACTACAGTGTATAGATCGCCATTCAATATGGCCATTGGCAATAAAGTTTCAAAGAAGCTTATGTTTGTATAATTGCAATGTTCAACAGAAAAAGAATCTTGTGTATTGTAAGAAGATACACAAGCATCCCAGGATGAAGATTCAGGCCTCAGGAAATAGTATGTTTGATAGTGTATTATCTACCCAATTTAACGACCTGTTCCTGGATGAATTGAGAAAATACAACATTATTTTCAATGAAATTGGAAGGACATTCCTCTTTTTTTTG